GCACTCAGTGGATCCAGACACACAGCATTGTGGATTTTTTTGGTTTCTAGTGAATGATATGTAGCAGAATGAATGGCACTTTCATTTCTAAGGGATACTTTAAAAGGACTTCAGTTACAGTATGTTGTTCAGAGTAATTGTAATAGCAAAGTGCCAGGAAGTGTTTTGTTTAGATGATTAAAAATCCTGTTTTAAGAATATATTTAAGACTGAAGAAAACAGGACTTTCAGTGGCATACAGTGTATAATAGTGTACATAGTATTGGATGACTAACTATCATTGATGGAAACTGTCAATATCAGACTGCTTCTTTTTTCCCTTTTCTGTTTGCTGAAAGCTGAATTCTTAGACCATGCTATGCAATACTGAATTTTCTTTAGGCTGTAGTCTTCTTTCAAGCATATCTACAGGCTTCTTTTTCTTTCTTGTTTCCTTGTCTTCTTTTTTTTTTATTTCTTTTGCCTGAGAGTATTTTTCCTGATTATTTTTTGTTACTGATTTTCTTGTTTGTTTCATGGGACTTGCTTTTTTTGAGAGTTTTTGTTTGTTTGTTTGTTTGTTTTTTAATGTACAGGAAGCCAGCAAGAGTTGGCTTGAGAATTAAAACTATGAAATATTTTACAATTTTCTTTAGAAAAATAGAATATTGAGCTACTAGCTCAAAGTTTAAAAAGTTCGTAAATTTTTTTTGATGAAATATTTGTTGGGCAGTGCCTGATAAGCTTCAAAGCTGCTTTATTCAATAAAAAAATATATGAACATTACGAAATATCACTGAGTCCAACAATACTGTTTCAGAGATATCTTTAGAATACGGTACCATACTACATTTGCTTCTTGAAGCATTTTGAACTTTTATCACAATTGTCTTTGTATTTGGAAGACAAAAAACAAATAGTGTATCCTTCTTTGATAGTGACTGCAGAAAAAAATGGGGATATTTTGCTACTGCAGTGTAGAGTGTAGACAGTTTGGATCTCAGAATGAATCCACCTTTCACAGTAAATAAATGATTTCTTGACCTGTGGCAGAATTTTTGTCAGCATGTAAAGATATTTTCATTTCATATGAAGGAAGTTTCTCTAATCTGTTGCCTAGGGGCTTTTTTGTATTAGTATTATGGGGAAAAAAAAGCTTCCACCTCTACTGAGAATGTTTGGATACAATGTAGAGCTAATTAAGACTGGAATATGTCTTTTTTTGAAAATGATAGGCTATGATACTTACTTTCAGAAGTTTGTAGGCCGAGGCAGTATCAAAGTGAACAGTTCCATAATTTCAGGGCACCAGAGACTTACATAATTATGGTTCAGTTAAAGAAAACAAATACATGAATCCTACTAAATCAGATTTATTAGTAATTCTGGGATAATTTACTGTCTGTGGTTTGCAATGGTTACTTGTTGTCCTGACCACTGAGGAAATTCACACATTGCAAATTGATAAAGTAATGAACTTCAGAGAAATCTTGGAAAAGATTTGACTAAGTGAACATATGACTTTATTCTTCCCCCAAGATTAAAAAAGGCAATACCCATTACCATTAAAGAGAGTTGCACACACAATCAAAAGAGCAAGACCCATGGAGTTCTCCCATAGTAGCTCTGCTTTAGAGATACTTGTGTTTTATTTCTAAATATGCAGGGCTTTATAAGCTGTTGGAGGAAATTTGCTGGTCTCCAATGATCTTTATATTATCATTTCATTTTCAAATTGCTACTTCAGTTCTGATGCTGTAAGGCTTTTGATTTTATTTTGATTTTGTGCTCTTTTTTTTTGGTGAGTTGTCTTTGCTTTCCTATAGGTGTATTTTCTTACTGGAATTTATATCAGGAAACACGATTCAACAAATAGTAATGTTTCATGATAGTCATCACTTGGAAAATTATTCTGAATATTTTTCCTTAATAGAAGTAGAGTCTTCATCCCTTACCTTCCTCATTCCACACTCTCTTCAGGTCTATAGGACCATGTAAATTTGGTATACCAATAACTGGTTTTTGCTGTGAAAAGCACCAACAATTACTCTAGCATGCCAGTTATACTACTGGGCTTCAAGTTACAGCTTAGTTGAATATACGGTAGTTTAACACTTATAGCAATCCAAGATATTCTTTGGACATATATTAATTTCTGAATGTTAAATATTTTAAGAGTAAAATTGTATTTTTTTCTCTGTAGGCAAAATATATGTAATCCAAATTGGTGTTTCACGCAGCTTTTGTCAAGAAATTTTATCATAGTTAAGGCATTTGGATCTAATTTTCCTCGTATTAAGAAAACCCCTGCTATGTCAGTGGGCCATATCCTTAGCATGCCCTGTCCAGTACGGAATATAATTCCATACTGAATGGAAACATAATTCCTGTTTGCTGTGCAACTTCTCTTCACGTGTGGCTGTAGGAGAAAAAAAACCAGTGTGTATGAGATTTGGCACTTGCTTTTCTTGCACAAGCAACAATGAGAAATAAGCACTGTGTTGTAAGGATGAGTGCTTAGGGCTTCTTAAAGAGATGTTCTGCCTACACAGGGTCTATGCAATTTGCAGGGATCAGTTAAGTCTGATGCTGTGGAATGTTGGTGCTAAAAAATAACTCCGGAGCAGTTAATTAGAGGTGAGATAAGGAAAGGGTTTAATGTACCAAGGCAATAGGTGTTACAAGACGCACGCCCAGCTGTGCCTGAGATGTTACATTTTATATTATCTGTCCAATCCCAGGTGTGTCCACCCCATAACCTTTGCTCTGGACCACCTCGGATCCACCCCCTTAGAATTGAGTCTGGGGGCTTTTTAGGACCACCTACTTCTTCAGTCTCATCATCTTCAGAGCACAAAGGGTACACAGTCACCTAATTCCTGACTCCGTTTTGTTATTCAGGCCCTGATATGACTGTTCTCTAAACAGCCTAGGCCCTGCCTTGACAAGAGACTAAACATTGCCACTGAATTCAGGGGTAGATTTGATATGGGGAGCATAGAATGGGGTAAGAGGGTTAAGGAATGTGTAAACTACTTGTATTACAGGGAAAGGGAGTGAGGGTTGCTGCTTTTAAAATCTACTTCTACTACTTATAAAACTTATAAGGTTTATAAAAATTAGAAAAATAAAAAACTATTAGGGGCTTAAGGCATCAAGTCCCTCAAATTGGCATGAGTAGGTTTTCTTTGGTACTTATGTATTGTGTGGCCTCTGCATTTCTCTCCCTCCTAAATGCACAAAGCTAAATCCTGCCAAAGGCCCTATTCACTGCAGAGTTGTTTGTCTTTAATGTACCATGTCGTTCACTCCAGTTTTGATTTGATCTCAAATAGACTACTATATACGGGAAAAAAAAGCATGGGGATATAACTGAAGAAACACAGTGGGTTTTTTCTGTAGTTCTGTTGATGTGTAGCTTTTTCATCTAATATAATATGTGGAAGGGGTTTGTTTTGTTACCTTTTTTGGGGGAGGGTGGAATTTTTTTGTTTTGATTTAAATTCCTGAGGTATGCTGCACTGCAGCATCTCTTTCACAAGGCCTTTGAAAGGTATGAGACATAGCAAAGAGAACCAAAGCTCCCAAGCAAAATAAGTAGTTTCTGATTTACTTAAGTTGAAATTTGAATTTGCAGGTTGGGGATATGTATCTGCGCATACAGGTGCACACTTGCTGTGTTAATGTGTGAACAGATCCCAATATAGGTGCACTTTCACCTTTCATTCAGAACATGATCATTTTGCTGAATTCAGTAAGTGATGTCATTAACTTTGTTTAAAGACGCACACATGCACACTAGACCTTTGTGGGTGCAGCATGTTTCCAGATACAGTTAGAAAACTGAGTTTCTGTGTTGTTGGATAGTTTCTTAAAAAAAGCAAAAAAAACAGTGAAAAAAAAACCAAACCAAGCTTGTCTGTATGGTTCTGTTATCTAAGAAATTTTGTCAAGCAATCTGTAAAACCAAATCTTCAGCTTTTTTATTTGATGTCAACTGTTCTGTAGTGAGAAATGGCTTTGTCTTGTAATTGGCAATGAAATAATAATGCTTGGGAAAACATTCAGATGCTTCTAATGAGGAAAACTGCCGATTTTCACACAGTGCTTTTGCTATGCATGGTATTAAGTTGGGAAAGTGAATCCTGATACTAATTTTTTTCAGGATTACTTTAGAAATGGGCAGCTCAAAGCACAATGCCTCCCATAGGACAAGGTTCTAAAGTGCAACATTTTACGTAGAATCATGTTGTATTTACAGCAGTTGAGACTAAACTGTGGAAGTTGGTAATGTTACATTGCACTTGTCCTGATGAGATTGCATTAACTGCCCAAGATGCTGCTATTTTCTTTTTTATTCTTGTTTTTAAAAATAAAGCTCTGTTCTGTTAAATGTCTTTAAAACATTAAGATTACTTTGTTTTAAAATTGTCTTTCAGGAGGTGCAGGTTAAAGCAGGTTGTAAATTGCCTTTACAAGGCAACTGTGAAAACATGCCTCCTTGAAGTTTTGTTCAAGCTGTAGAGTTGATGGAGCTGTGTCTTGTTTTTGGGTTGCTTTAAAAATTGTAATAAGTCTTCAAGCAGAATAAAGGTTGTTTTGAAACTGCATTTCAGTTGTTGAGGCTTCCATAAGGACTGTGATGTCTCTTTACCAGCATCCTTGGGTAAATCTTCCTGTCTGTATGTGGCCTTCTTTGAAAATTAGACCCAAATATTATTAGAGGGAATATATAATATATAGTATATATTATATATATTATGCTCATATAATATATATATATATTATATATATAATGCTAATATATAATATTATGCTCATATTATTAGAGGGAACTAGGGAAAAAATAGTTTTAGCAGACTCTCAGCCATCCTATATCTTGAACTGAAGGAGGTAGTTGGGTAGCTCCAAAATAGTCTCCTGTCAAAACAGTGTCAAAATCACAGTTCTGCTCATCTCATACTATTTCAAAAGCAGTACAATACTCATGATCTGCCTTCTACAGTGCATTGTTTACTTACCCTCACTATTGGTAGATGGTATTTGACTTCTTTAAGTCCATTCATATCTTACCCCAAAAGATGTCCTCCAGGTAAGTCAGTCAACCACTCTGGAAGCAGAAAGAGATTCCTATTCAGATTCTGTCCAAGCTTTCCATTCCAAAATTTGTTCACACTAATCTCTAAATACCTTTGACTGAAGTACTCAGGTAACACGGGCTTGGAATAATTTTTAATAATCACAACATTGTCACTGGCCCTTAGAGATTCTTAAAAGAAACTTAGATTAAGGACTATTATCATATTTTTACCCTGTTATTAGAAAGCGAGGTTATATCTCCAATGCATGTATCTGTTGCAGTGTTTCTGTTAGTAAGCTGATTCTTTTATACAGATGCTTAGTTTATCTTATTCCTGCCCCCTGAACCAATGCTGAGGAGCGCAAAGGCTGTGCAGCCATAGAGTCGACATCTAAAAATAAGGTGAACTGGGTGGTGAATTATGCATTGTCCATCATCATCTGTTGGAGAAAAATTAAGACTGATGGATCATAATCTGCAGAAGTCTATGGACTAGCAGATTTCTTTCCTGTATCATACATTGTATAGAAATCACTCTTGGAAGATTGGAAAAGTAGTTTGCAAAAATGTCATTCTATTTTTGCTGTCTGCAGGCAAACACCCCCTCACTTTCTCTCTCTGCTTTCTTGCTAAGCTTTGATGGTCATACAATCATAGGGAATATGAAAGACTGCTTCAATCTATCTTTGTGCAGCTACAAGTGGGTGTAATACTTTTAAAAGATTATGAATGCTTATCATGGATTTTGTTTTTTTTTCTCCCCAAGTTGCTTGACTCATGCAAAGTCATGTGTGAGTAACTTCACACAATTCCTTTTGTCTGAGCTGTGAATCCTAAGAGGAAAAAGAAAATTTTAAAACTCAATGTCACCTTCTACATGGCTCTGCATAGATCAACACTGGTACTCCCCAGGCTGCAGATGGGGGCAGCTGGGCACAGGGGCAAAGAAGCAGCGCTGCTGGAGCCCTAGGCCACCTCTCCCTGCCTATAATGGCTTCCCATGGAGGTAGCCCTCCCATCCACCATAGAGAAGAGCCCCTCTTGTTCACATGGAGGACCTTTTGAGATGATTACTACCAGGATACACCTAATATTTACCACAGGGGCCTGATTCCCTCGTTTAGAGGGTGCAAACTGGGGAAATGGCAAACAGTGGGGCCTTGCCAGTATTCCTGAATGAAAAGAAGGCTAAAAGTAAGTGAGTTTGCTTTCACTGCAGGGCAGCTTGCAGGGCATCCAGACAGATGTGGGCTTTGCGAGAGGCACTAGGCCTTTCATATCTCCTCTGAAAAAACAGAAAGCAGGAACTGTGGGAGCACTGCTGAGGACATGGTTCTGGTTTCTCTTTTTTTTAATCTCTTTGAGGACCTATATCCTGAAATACATAGACCACCAGAAACAGAAATTCTTCAGCACCTTCTGTAAAAACAGATATTGATTGATCAGCCTCAATTCAAACTTTGGGTAATCTGTGCAGGGACTAGCCTTTTGACCTGTGATCAAGCAATCAGATAACCACAAACATCCTGATAGTTCTTTGAAAAAGCAGGTTTTTGTCCATGGCTGTACCAGGCCTTGTTTCCTGCCAGAGTGGCATTGCAAGGACTCTGCTTGTACTGCTCTGTCCTCTGTGAAGAAATTATCTTTGCATAGTAAAAAAGGAGGCGTTTAGGGCTACTGATTTAAATGTGCAAATATTTACATGAGTAAAATTTAACAGGTATCACACAAAAAAACCTGTCATGCTCGGGTCTTTGAAAAAAAAAAAATATTGACAAAACTGGACACGAATATAGTTAATTCAGATGATGATTTCACTGCTGTGTGTTTGATATTCTTGTCTCATTAGAAGACCATAGCCTGAGAAGAAAGATACTGAGTTCATACCTGAAAGCATTTTATCCTCTATAAATCCTCTATAAATGTTTGTTTTCAACATGATTTACTTTATTTTTCCACAAATCTTGTGCTTGGTATAAAACATTGTTAGATTAATCCTTTTGCTATTTTTTTTAAGGTGTAACTACTGGAAGTCCTTCAGCAGGATGGTCCATGGGGTTAGCTGAAACAGACATACTGAGAGTCAATGTTTGGTGGTGACCTTTCTACAGGGAATAGCATGTCTGGACTGTAAGACAGGATGGTCCATCACAGCTGCCTGTCCAGCACTCAAGGCAGTGATTCAGATGGCTTTCACGTGCCATCACGTGCCATCACTGCACTCAGGGTCATGAGGCATAAGCTTTACCTGTCTAAAAGGTGGGTATAGCAATTCTTTGTAGCTTGTTTATTGTGAGGCTGAATGGAGACCTTAAAAAGCATGATGTGGAAACATGAGAGGAATGCAAATCAGCAGCTATCAGGACTGGAGCCATACCAGAAAGCAAAGGCGAAAAGGGAAGCTTCGCACCACAGCCTCTAAGCAAGGACCATGCTGGGCCTCCAGTCACCCTCCACCTTCCCTGGGAAATCCATGCAGGATTATTACTCTGTTGAGTAAAGGCTACCACTTAAAACAGCACCTGTTTGCAGGTGCAGTATGCTACTCTTCCTTGTTTCAGAAAGACAGTGAGTTTGAACATTTTGAAGTGGGATTCATTTCGTCTAATTTTAAGCACCTAAAAGAAAGGCTTGTCATCAAAGCCGTCTGCAAAACTCTCTTCACAGAGAGAGCCAGGCAATTCCCCAGGGTGATTCACCCCACCCACCTCAGGCACTATTCTTAGGATGCAGTGAATCACTCTATGGAGTCACTTCTTTGACTGGAGGGAGAGCCCAGGCAAATGGCTTATGCTAGATGTGCAACTTTAATGTGCCTCAGGTTAGATGAACTCAGTCTCTTCCCTGCTGATAAGCAGTTCAATTTTAATCTCTCCAGTACCAGCTGCAATGTCTTCTGCTCTTAGGCATAATGATAAGGGACAATTAATTTGGGGCTGGAATTAAAATTGATTTACAGAAATTGAGTCTTTCATAATAATTGTAAAGGTGGCAGAGAGGTTCAAAAAGATGCTGGACCATATCAACTTTGGAGCTGTAATTCTGGACTGCACACAGAGGAATCCATGATACTGCCGCCTTCTCTGCCTGCTCCAGGGACAGGCAGAGAAGACCTGGCTTATCAGTGCCTTCCAACAGCCTATGTGAAGGCTACACACCTGTCTTCTGAGAAATACCTTGGTCTCTTGCCAGCCATGTGGCCAGCCAAGAAGACATGGATGAGGAAGATGCTGCTGTTTTTAACAAGTGAGGTCAGTTTGTTAGTCACCACATCTGTATTTCCTTTCTTATCCAGGGAAAATTTAGGAAACTTGACTTTCTTTCCTTCCAATTGGTCCATAGCCAAGACACAAAGTGGGGTATTATGATAGTAAAACTAAGAAACTAAGAACTTCTGCCAAATTACCTCCCAGTCACACTGAGCTCTACCTTAGGGCAGGAGAGCTGTGTGGAATTCCTCAGGCATCTATGGAAAACTTAAGAAGGTCCTGTGGTGGTTTTTGGGTACAAGACTATATGCATACCTGCGTCAGTTAAACTAAATCTTTCCGTGAAAAATGTTCTACTGAGAAGGGTCTGCAGACTGCAAGGGGAGTTTGTCCATCCGATGAAGTGGAAGATCTGGCTTTGAATAGCCTCAGTGGCTAGAGCAAAGGCAGTGTCAGGTCAGACGCAGGAATATTTTGGGCAGAAGATTCAGGAGTCTTGATGTGAAAGAAGAGAAGCTGTTATGCAAACAGGTGTTGCTCAACAGGTAACAGGTCAGGTAATGTAAACAAGAAAGCCACAGATTGTCAAACCACCCATGAGGGCCAGGATTCCTCAGGATACGTGAATAAGATCCTCAGAATGGGTTCACAGCACTACACCTCTTTGTGGTAGGCACTGTAGGTTTCTGGACAAAAGCATATTGCTCCTATGTGAAAACAGACTGATTTAGTCGGTGAGTAAATGTGCACAGCCACACTCCATCAGGACTGTGAATATTATTTCAGAGAGGATGAGAGGACAAACTAATTTAAAACAGGAAAATAAAGGCCAAGTGTATACAAACACACACAATTAAATGATGTTGATATTTCAAAATCTCTTGGTCTTCATTACCAATAACAATGTTACTAAAACTGAAATCTTGCCATGGTCTGTCCATTTCCAACTGTAATCTTGGCAGGCACAGATGACCCAGGTCTTATCCATTGGTTCTCCAGTGGCAAAAACACCTCTTATCTGGCTGGGCCACATGTGCTTCCAGTAGGGTGCGGCCAGAGACTGGATCCAAGTCGTCTTGAGTTAGCACAAGTTGCTTGGGTGCCTGAACACTCTTATGACAGCTGTATGTGAGAGCTCCTGGGTAATGCTGGATCCAAACAGCCATTTCAGCAGCAGACAGGAAAGAAAAGGGATTGCTATTAAAGTCTTTATAGAAATTTTTTTTCACAAGAGTGTCCTTTCTGGTGTCACATACAGAAGAGCACATCCTCTATTAAGGTGGTCAAAGAAGCTCCTTTTACTGGGGAAGGTGGTTAGCTGTGACAATTTGATATGGTTTGAAGCTGGCTCCCTGCCAAGTCTCCAAACCTTACAACCAGAAGTCCTCCCCCCCAAAAAAAACCTCAGGGAGAAGAGGGAGAAAAAAAACTAAGAAAACCCGAAACAAGAGAGACAACCAAAGTGAGATATATAAATATATTTACACTTATATACAATTAAAATATACAATTTCACAAGGGAAAGGGAAGGGGGAAGGGAAAGGGAACAAAACTAAAATAAAATATATAGATATCCCAAGACCCAATATCTAACAACTAAAACTGCTTAGCAAAGAAAATAGCTCACTACTCTCCTGGGACAACTGAGAGTCGCTCCGGAACGATCGCCGGCAACCTCTGTCTCCCAAGGTCGGCAAGGCCTAACCAGGCCTCGCTCCCCAACACGGCAGACTCAACAGCAGGGAACCTGCACCTCCAAGCCGCCGGAAGGAAAGGGAACGAAGGCCTCTCCTCCTTTCTTCTTATAATCTGGTTTACATAAAAATCGTAGGGAATACTGGGTAAATCTGGACCTTTCCTTGGTTACAAACTGGTCACCAAGGAAGGCCTAGCCCAAACCACCACACAATTAAATGAACAAGTTTCCCTCCCTTATTTTCTCAACATCTATAGCAACGTGTATGCACATGCTCCCTTCAGCACATCTATGATGGAGACACCCTGACTGCAATATCTATGAGCACCACCTAAGGCTGACCTGACATTTCTTAGCTGAATACAATCATTAACATGGCCCCAGGTCTGAAGGCAAACTAACTAATGGAAAATGTGTTCAGCTTCTTAGCCAGGCTGTGACAATGAATAGTGTTCCTTTCAAAATGCCACACTCCCTACATTTCTAAAACTCATGTGTCCCTTAAAATTGGTACAAAATCTATGAAAAGTTTCTAGAGAAGCGAGAGAAATCCACGTCAGTGCCTCAGTAAAAAGTAACAAGCGAAACACATTGCTGCAGGGATTTTCCTTAAAAGACACCCCAGGCTTGCAAAGCGGGTCTACCACACCTCTATCAGTGTATCCTTACTGTACAAATTTATGATTTCTGGATTGGATTTCTTGTATTCATCTCCAGCCAAAAAACAAGGACTGTGGTCATTCTGACTGTCCTCAAATCGTAGTGTTCTGGCCACAGACAGGGAAACTAGCTCTAGTAGCCAAATCTGCTCCCACTCATGCACCTGGGTTGTTTTATGTGGCAATGGAGCTGCAAGGGAAGCTTATGCCCTGATATGAAATCAGGATGAACCTGAGAAACATGTCTGACCCCAGAAACTCAAAGAAATTGCTTCCGTATCTGGTAATACATATGTAGCTCTTGACTGATGCATGCCCATGCCCAATTCAACGTATGTATTTTCTTCTTTGCACTGATACCTTCAGATCTCTTTGGCTCACAAAAAGTATTAGCGCATGTTAGGCAGCTGGCTTCTCCTGATTGTTTTTTTAATGTCAGCACAGTCTTGAAGCTGAAACAGTGGACTGCATACTCCCTGTGAGAAAAATACTGGTTAATTGTATCACTCACAGCAGATACTTCGCATCTGACATCTCTCTACACTTTCACCCCTAGAGGTTCTGATGCAAGCCTGGCTCTGGAGCTTTGAGAACTGGCTCCCACTGAGAGAGGGGAACCATGAGACAAGGGGAAAAAGACTTTCCTTCCAATATTTTCCTAAGCTGCCCCTATTCAGTGGATCAAATTCATGGTAGATCTACTTGAATGCAAGGAGAAGGGTCAAAGCAGAAAAACATTACCAGCTGTTCATGACTAGTATTTCTCTTCCTATAGTATTCTAAAACCTTGGATTTACTTATCTTTTCAATTTTGCTCTGCAGATAGTTGAGGACAAAATTTTCCAAGCCAACACCTTCATCAGTTCAAAGTTATTGGTGTATTTGTGCTGATGGATTTGATAATCCAAGGTTATATTCCTGTATCATATAAATGACCCACTCAACAACAAAATGTCATCATTCTCCATCCTTTCCTAGAAATTAATTTAGTCATAGACCTTAAAAGAGACTACAAACGTAAGGCTCATCATGCACATATTAGAGTTGATCAAGAATTGTTCTGTGAGGGAAATTCTTATTAAAAAACCTCATTTATTTCATATGAAACCTTCACAAGGGTTATGAATTCAGCAGAGCTCTTTCAAAGTTCAAAATAAAAAGCAAGACTCCAGTTTCCATCTAATATAAACCTGTTAGCTGACAGTGACCATCTTAGTAGACACTTAGCATAGATGAGATCTAGGAGAGTCTTCAGTGAGCAGAGGATGAAAACATAAGATACTCTAGCTTTTCCACCAGACTATGGAGTTTGTTTCAATCCACTGGAACTTCTAGTCCATATAAGTAAAAATATTAATTGGAATAAATAAAACTGATTATAATGCCTGGTCATTATGATACTCACCAGGAACACAGGAAAAATGAATTCACATCCCTGCTTCAATGGTGACTCCATGTCTACAGCATGAAAATTAGGCAGGCATAGGCTGAGACAGGTAATTGTATAGCTATAAAGGTGGTGATATTTTTCTACAAGCAGTTTGAGTTCTTGTGTTTTTACTGAGTAGTACAGCTCAAGAAGTGATATCTGCATCAGAATTGGTTTTAGATCAATGTTTGCATTTTGAGGCCTGTTTGGTCTTCAGTGTGAGTCAGTCTTTGGATTCCAAAGGATCAAAGTTTAGAAAGTTTTTCTAGACTCATGAAGAACCACCTCATGCAATTGTAGATATCACAGACCTTCTGCTTTAGACAGATGTAACTTAAAACAGGAAACCAAACCCAGCCAGGTCTAAGTATGACACAGAAACCAGGCTGAACTGGTGTTTTCATGACTGTACTTTATCCACTCAGAAATCAGAAGTACTTTAGAATCTCAGTTTTGGTTTTGTTCTTTCATGCTGAAAAACTTCAGTACTGCTTAGTCTTCTGGCTCAGAAACATGAACATTTGAACACAGAAGTAAAGAAAACAAACAAACAAACAAACAAAAAACCCAACCCCAAAAACCAACCAAACAAAAGCCAATGAATGTGTTAGAATCTTTTATGGCTCCATAAAAACTAACCATAAAGTATAACTAACTAATTGCTGATTGTAAACTCAGAGTTAGAAAAGACCCCTAGTCCTTGTTTTCAAATGCTTTCCCTCCAGACTACTCCAATCCCAGCTGAAATTGATGTTAGCTAGAAATGAGGAGACTGTGTATACCAAAAATCTCTTTAGCTTCGCTGGCTCCATCTAATCCCAGCAGAATTACCTTGACACCCTATAGATAGATCTGGCTGCCATTTATGTCCCTGTTTTTGCTGTTAAATTAAAGCAATTAGCACTTCCTACTTGCTAATCTAAAATATTTTAAAATGGTTTCTCCTTTCTTTACCACAGTTTTAGACGTGACTGAACAAAAATCACTGGTTAGGCCTCCTAGCCTTGAAGACATGCATGGTCTGGTAGAGGAAGTCTTCTCCTGTCATTCACATGGGAGAAGTATCAAAGTCCAAAAATTCTGAGTGGGTGGTAGAATTGCACCAAGGATATTAATTTTGAAAAGCTGAGTAGGAGAAAAGTCACATTAACATTTCTGTCAGATAATTACTTTTGGAGGGTATTAGAGGAGCACCTGTACAAATGTGTTCAACAAGCAAAATGGTGATCATATCCACTAGGCTATTTATTTGACAACTTTTTCAATAGTTTATCTAGCTCTGCTGATACTACTTTTGTAAGTAAGAAAATGGAAATTATTAATCTCACTTAATTTTGCTGCCACAAGCTCCTGTGGACTGCTTTTTTATTAGTGTCATAGAAACGTTTTCCCCTTCTGTGCTTGACTGATTGCACCCAGCACACCTGAACAATATTTGCAATTGAAAATAGAACTTGTATTTCCTAATTAGAGAGCCTGACTATTCTTACAGATGACCAAGTTTCTTGATCATTGAATCTGAACTATAAGCTTGGTTTACATATATTGTTCACACAGGGTGGATTCCTTTTTTAATGTTCTTCCGCATGTTCATGTCCCTGTCTGAAAAATAACTGGTGGGAGTGAGAGAGAGAGGGCAAATTGACAGACTGATCAGATGCTTGACTTACTTACTTGGTCATCAGCAATCCCATCCTTTCAGGACAGGGCAAATAGTTGCTAATGAGAGCAAATTCATGGGGACCGGTGAAAAGATATTCTTGTGGTGGTCACCTTATTCAGAAGGTTTAACATTTTCTGTTTCTGTTTCTTTGTGGAGAGAGGTGGGGTGGGTTTTGGGAGGAAGTGTTTTTTTCGTTAGTGATAAGGGCAAGGAGAGGTGTACATTTCCTCTTCTAAAAGTATAACGTACAAAGCTGCTTGCATTGGGGGTTTTTTTGAGTGTGTATTCAGGCACACAGGACAAGTGAATTAGTAAATGTCACTGCTGGAGCATCACCTTTCACCATAAGCACAATCAGTCAGAAGCCCCATACCTGCCTTTTTTTTCTCAGGTTGGCAGTGGAAATTCACACTTCAGTGTTGCCTTATCAAAACTGAATCTGTGAGAAAGCCCTTATATAGTACTCAACCCAAAGAGGATCAGTTCCTAAGATGGTAAGCAACTCAGTTGTTTCAAAAACAGTGAAAATTTTTGACTGCATACGGTGGTGGTCTCCTTCATCTAGAAAAGCAGATGAAAAAGGTAGCAAAACTATCAGGTAGAATGACAAATATGGTTAAAGGTGTGGAGTAGCTTCACTGAGAGAGCACATAAGCTAGACTGGGATACTTTAATTTGGAAAAGAGGCTGACTAGGAAGTATGATAGGTACAACCACTTATGAAAGACAGAGAGAAGGCAAACGGAGGAAATTCAGTTACTGCTTCTTAGAACACAGGGTCCAAGGGCATCAAAAAAACTTAACAGGTGGTTAATTTAAAACACATGAATGCAAATAATATGTAGATTAACTGTGAAATTCTTTGACCTGGGAAACTGTGAATACTGAGGAGTGATTAGACAAATTCATGGCAGTGAAATACATCAGGACTACTGAACAGAAAATTGCTGCAACTACTGGCAGGCAATAAAATCCTTAGATTGCAGGTAAAACTAAAGAAATGATAAGCCACAGAAGCCATTATATGGGTATAATCAAGGATGTGAAAAAAAGTTATGGTGAAAATTCAGAGTCGAATTCCTAATTTTTTAAGGTTTTGAGGGTTAAGGTCATAACTTCACCTGCAATACTCAAGTCCACATAGTTATTTAAAGTTCTATATTTAGAAATGTGGGAATTTTTTTTTTCTTTTTTTTTTACGTCTCCTGGGGCTCATGACTGATTTA